TCTATCTCGCTCTCTCTCTCTCTCCCTCACACAACATGCACAGTAAAAGCGCTCTGTCATCATTGTGCTTTCGCCCCGAGGCTGAGATTGTGGATCAGACAAATCAAACCAAATGCCACCATTAGCCATTAGAGAACATGCAAACAGATCTGACCTTAAATCAGTCCTGTGGGACAGTTACATTCGCTGTCATAGCTGCTCCGATATGCTACAGCATCCTCTGCATTACATGCTGACTTTAAAGACTTTGTCACTCTCTGTCAAGACAGCATGTAGGCCTATCCATCTAGTTGATGTCTTGATTTCTGGTGGATTTAAAACGTCACATTAATTTAATTTAATTTAACTGTATTTTTGAATGAAAGAATGGCCATAATATCATCTTTTTTTCCAGCACTGTTGTATATCATCTATTCAGGGAGTGATTATGACAAGCTCCGGGTGTGCTGCTCATCAATAACGCATCAGCTCCTATCCATATGTCCATCTGAGCATGCTTAAGATGATGAAGTAAAGATAGCATAGTTCTACCGTGAGATGCTTAAATAAGCAAAGCTGCCGCTACAGTGCTGCACAGCAGATGAGGGCCCTCTGGTGGTACTGCAGGTAATAGCAGCCCTGTTATATAGGTCACACCACTCATCACAGAGCTCTTCTGGGCTCTCTGTACGCCGTGTTTATCTGTGATGAGACTGAGGGGGATCAGAGGCAGACAGAGCTTCGTGCCAGTGCCCATGATGCACTGCACCGAGCCAGATGCATGGATGCCAGGGACCACGCGGGGGGGTGGGGGTGGGCTTGGGCTGCTGCGTGTGACACAGAAAGAGATGTACATATGTGTTCAAATGTAGGAAGCTTATGTTTCATGGCAGAACGGATGGATGGGTGGAAGGGAGGCGGGCCTGATGCTACTTGTATCTCTCCCCAAAGTTGCCAAAGTGTCCCCGAGCAAGACACTGGATCCCATTCAGCTCAAATGCAGCTGTTTTGGGTGACCTTAATCATTTCCACGTAGCTAAACTGGGATGGAAAATTGGAAATCCTGAGGCAGACATTTGATTGGATGTGAGGTTGAGGATGTTGGAAACAGCACCTGCAGTCTCCACCCTTCAGCAGACAACTACAAATGCATCATATCATCTATTATAATATGGACAGTAACCTTTAATAGCTCCTTTGCAATAAATGAGGGATATAAATATGAAAAAAAATGCTATGTATTATCTAATGAGAGAATTTGCTGCTTTTCTTTGTCATATATGATAGTACTGAACAGTTTTGGACTGTTGGTTGGACAAAACAAGACATTTGAGGATGTTTTGAGGGGCATTTTCACACTATTTTGTAATATTTTGTAGACTAAATTATCACAACAGAATCAGGAAATGAATTGATAATAAATATAATCCCTTATTGCAGACATTTGTTCTATCAAATGTCACAAAAAATATTATATTCTAAAAAATAAAAAACTTCCCAGAACCTAAGGTGAGGTCTTCAAATATCTTATTTCCGATCCACAGAGCAAAGCCCAAAGATATTGAGTTTACAATCACAAAAGAAAATTAGCTAATGTTTGCATGTGGAACCAGAGGGGAATGTGTGACATTTTTGATTAAATTGCACTGAAACAATTAAAAAGTTAAAAGTTAATTAAAAGTAATTAATCTAATTGATGCCAGTTAATTTTCTGTTGCTCTAAGGATCCATTTATTATGAGCATCCTTTATACCACCTGCACAAGTTACAGATGTTTTTGTTCCTTTGCAGCTCTGTGCAAATGAGTAATATGCATGGGTATTTGCAATCATATAAATAGCTTACCCAAAAAATGTTAATAATCGAGATATGAGCTGAAGCCTGCGTTGTAAAAGCCTGCTTTTTCCTCGTTCTATTTTCTTTGTTTCTTCTAAACAGACACAGCTGAACAGAGCAGACGGCCTCACAACATGTCTGAATCACTCTGTCTGTTTTTCTGTCTCTCTTTCACTTTTTTTTTTATTTTTCTCACTGGCTGCCTGTTTCTGAACAACTCACATGCCAACACACACACTCCTACACACACACACAGACAAATGCCTATCTTTGTGAGGATAACCTGAACCCTGCGATCTTGACAGCATTCATTCCTTAATGCTTGGCTGAGCTGTAACCACTGCATGCCGATGTACTGAATCCTTTAACCACTGTCCCCATTTCAGGTCTAAATCTGAAAAACCAGCCAGTGAAAATCAATTAAAACTTTCTGTGGCAAAAAGTGTTCCTTCAAAGATCAGGACGCCCCAGACTTGTAAGAAAATACGCCCAAGCATGGTCTTAAACTTTGATTTATGAGTCAAAAAGTCTTCAAGTCAAGTCAAAAGTAGGCCTTAAAGTAGCTTTTTGCTGCGTTTAAGGGGAATTAGTGTTGAAAAAACAAAGACTCCAACAATATCTACCCACAATGCCCTCCCTCAAGCTCAGAATCAGCCAATAGTCTTAGGAAAAAGTGTGTCATGGCTGCATCTCAGTTTCATGCAAACTTTGCCACGAGTAAGACTACCCATTATTGTTGGTATCACAGCTTACTATATTGTAGCATTAGCAAAAGGGAAGTGTATAGGATATTTCACTTACAGTCATGTTGATACTGTCAATGTTATATATCCTGTAATATGTGCAACATATGGGATTTTATTGACACTAATCTTAAATGCGATCAAGTAATGTAACCACTTCTAAATGAGAACCATCTGTGTGGGTCTGTGTTGAGTGTTGTTAAGTGCATGTTAAATTGTTTCTGTTTTTCTAAAACAGAGAACAAAGGCGGTTGACCTAAAATTAAACATTTCCTTTAAAGGTTTACTGACAAATGTATACATTTAGAATCAGTTTTAATTTGTCACTTCTGTGTTTTATTTATTGTCTTTCAATGTCCCAGAACTCTTGTATTTCACAACTAATATTTTGTATAAGTTGTATAGGTGTCTTTTATCAACTTAATCTCATATATTTCCAAGAAAAGGAGAGTGTTTAGCTGCTGATTACAAAGTGTTCTGTGGTTCGAGTTACTAGAGAGTATACATTCATTTAGTGGAGCTTAGTTACAAACATATGGTATTACTAAGATGTATGAGCAAGTACACCATTATCTGTACTCCAATTTGGCAGGGATTAACCCAGACGTTGGTGGTGTTTTAACCCGAAGTGGGTGTGGCTAACCAGGCCTTGTTAATGTAAGCCGGGTTCAGAAAATGGTCCATCTAGAACGAGCATTGACATTGGTCAATCAATGTCACTTGCAACGGCTTCCATCTGCCAATCATCTTATTGGCAACGGCAAAAGCATTCTCTGTTTTTTTGTGTCTCGGCCTTAACTCTGTCTCTGCCCTTTGGACTCACATTAATGCACATAAATGTTCTTCTTCAGTCAGTCCACTAGAGGGAGACATAGAGCCACAGAAATTCATTAGAGCCTGTGCTGATTTGATGAAAAGCAACTAATAACTCGTGTTTTTTCCTCCCCTTTTGGCATGTGAAAAAACACCATGCTTGTTAGTAGATCAGTTCATTGTTGGTTTTGGTCTTTCCATGATATTTTCTCATCATCTGATAATAAAACACCAGTTCAAGTAAACTGAGTATAAATGGGTAACCTTGTGATGGAAAAGAAAAGTCAAATACTTCACTGAGTGCATAGATACCCTCCTTTGGGATGTTCTTTTTATTTAAGGTGCAAGACAGTGTTTCATCCCAGTTTGTCCTGTCCTGTCTTTTCAGTCAATCTCCTCTTTCAGCCATTTGCTAAAAACTAAATCTGCCCACAAACGATCTCACAAAGAGAGAAGACTGACCTGTTCTCTGTGTCTTTGTGCTTTTTCCATCCCACACTGACAGTATGCTATTGTCATTAGCTAAGATGTCCTAACTGATTTCCATTCTGGAGTCTGGGAAGTAGGTGGGCTGTTAGCACACTGAGCAATTTAACAACATTAGGATATTTTCACTCGCTGTATCTTTCTCCCTCTTTGGTTTCTGTTACCTGACGCTCTGATGACTGCTTTACTTTTGGCATTATCTAACGGTTTCTCCTCTCTTTGCCTCTGTCCAGACCATGGCGGAGTACAGCTCTCTGCTCAGCGACCTGTCTGAAAACATCACCAACGAAGACTTGGAGCAGCTCAAGTCGGCCTGCAAGGAGGACATCCCCGAGGACCAGAGCAACAACATCACCTCCTCCAAGGAGTGGTTCAGCTACCTGGAGAAGAACGACAAGCTGGCCCAAGGTGAGATATCAAATCAACAATGAGATCATTGAATGTATATTTTATAATTTCTTGCTATGTTGCTCTCCCCAGGTAAGCATTTGTAAAGAGTCTCCTCTTATTTTCACATTCAATAAGCCTCAACTGCTGACCAAAACATCTGTGAAAGACATTTCTGATACAAACTGAAAGTGTTGTCAGCGAACAAGCGTGCTAACAACACTTCTCATGCAGATAATCTGATGTACATCGAGCACATCTTCGAGATTTCGCGGCGACCGGACCTGCTGACGAGGGTGATTGAGTACCGCACCACCGTGCTCAAGATCTCTGAGGATGACGAGATCGACACCAAGCTCACACGCATCCCTTCAGCCAAGAAATACAAAGGTAATCCAATCAATAGAACATGTAAATATAAGGTTAGAATTATATATTAGTTTCCTAAAATATCAAACAAATTTTAGACCTTTTTTGGAGAAGTTGCTCTGACTGGCTTCCTGGTCTGCCACATCCAGTGAAGCTCTGCCCTCTAATGGCGAAACGGAAAACTGCCTTGGCATCCTCTCCTCAGTAGTTCCCAACATATAAGTCAGGACAAGATAATTCTGAAGGGGTGGTAAGATGATTAACAGGATAGAAAGGCAGAAAAACATGTTTATATGTGCTTTTTTTCCCTCTAGGATGGATAAAATTATTACTTCATGACAAAAAAATTCACCCTTTGGTTGAACAGGAAACGTATGCCACCTGTGATTAGGGGTTGCAAGTACTAATTGCTTAATTTTAAGAAGCAACAAGCAAAAAAGGTTGGCAAATACTTCTCTAAGTCACTACATTCTTCCTTAAAAGTTGTGACACAAAGTTTAAACATTTGAATTTGTCCTAAAACCTCAGTCAGCGTTGACAGGGCCTCTCAAATAGCACCTTTAGTAAATCTCAGAAAAACATTTATTTAGTATTTGCAACATTACATTTATTCAAATTATTATATTATGAAGAGAGTGAACTATTCTTGAATTTCAAGGCTGTTTGTGAATATAGTGCAACTACCTCACCCAACTAACATCACCGCTAAAGCCCACCCGATATATTGATATTTTAGGGTTATAAAAAAAGAAAAAGAAAAATATATATAACATATTGATAACATATTGGATGATTTATTTCCTCTTCTTTGCCTTTTTTTCTCCTTAAAGCATGGCTCTTGACTTCGTTGTTGCATGAAATTTGGTTTAGTATTTGATATGTTTTTTTTAATTTTGTGTAAAAGATTGAAATAACCAATAATCCGTGATGAGGCAGGTATGTTTCCAGACGACAATATGTCTTAATGCAATATTCTTGTTCCTCTTCTCTCAGCTCTCTCTTTGCTTCCATTATTAGGTTTATTTCGTTTCTACAACTTTTTTCTGTTCAGTTCCCCGGGGAAATTCAGCTCGCAGACAACATAAAACAGAGGTGCAATGGCCAAATAAAAAACATGAATTCCCCTACTATTAAAAATGATTAAATGTTTGTTGCTCAGTTCTATTCAGGAAGCATAATTTGTATCACATGTACACTAAAAGAACTTGACAGCTATAATTCCTTGACTCTTTTATCCATTTTTTACTGTGATGCTGGGTTTTTTTAAACCGATAGTTTTATATAAATTTTTTATTACTTCTTTTTAAAATATTTGTCTACTATGTTGTATTAATGGTTGTCGCTTTATTTATCTCCTACTGCTGTTTTAAGGCTGCTTGTGCCCTGTCATTGTGTTTTATCTTCTCAATTGTGTTCTATAAATA